CCGAATGAAATAGTGCCATTTACTCTAGTGACCAGGAAGAATACATTTTTCAGGTCTTAGCTGTTAAGGTAGAAGTGGACCATCTAAGCATCCTGTCTCTTTGACATTGCTATAAATCTGAGAGCCTCACTGAACTCCAAGTGGGTTTACGGAGCTTAGTAATCGGAGTCTTTAATGGAACATGGGTAGTAATTTGTGGACTGGTTCATGACGTTTTTGAAAGTAAACTGAATGAGGCTCCATTTGTGAAAGAACCTAACAGTTTCTTATTATTGATATAAAAGTTTCTTGGATAGGAAATTTTTATGAAACAAAGAATAATCTGGAAACCAGAAGATTGGCAACACCTGAAAGGATAAAAGAAGGGGAATTTGGCGGTAAGAGAAAAAAAAGGTAGGAGACTGAAATTAAATCTTAAACATGAAATTGGTAAAAGATTGTTTTCGGTTATAATGAGAAAATACTATAGACTTTACAATGAAGAAACAATGTTACTCTTGTAAATTATAGAGGTGGAACATAATCTTTTTTTGGTCTATTTCGTGTTTATGTATTTGCTTTGCATTTAGGGGTTGTATTAAGTGAAAGTACTAACTTTTACCTATATTGTACTAAGTGAAAGTACTAACTTTTACCTATATTGTACTCCAACCAAACTAAGTATTTGTATATCTTAGAAATGCTAGTATTTTGAATTTTTTCATTTTGAGTTTTTTCTTCCCTTAGGCAGAATTGTAAATTAAATTGTAATTCTTTACACGTGATCTAGTGCAAATGAGCATGTGTTTGCATGTATTTTACTTCTCGACTTCATATTAGAAAAGCAACGCCGTTCTTTCCTCCGGTGTGTCTCCTCTACTCCTCATACAGAATACTTCACTTCTGACACTTCTGGTCATCACATGTATGTGAGGTTTTTCCCCACACCAAGCAATTCTCTGCAACACCAGCTGGATGTCCTACTTCAATTCTCACACTGTCTGTCTGGAGATGGTATCAGATCCCACACGTTAAGGGCTCAGTCCCACAAGACTGCTCCCACCCCACTTCATATGCCAATCACAAGTAGTAGGTCCTCAGGTTATGCACAACTTCTGTCTGACTTGGACTTGACTACAAATCAGAGGTTCTCACGACCTTCTCCTCATGTTTGATTAAATTGCTATAGTGGCTCACAGAACTCAGGGAAACATTATGTTTACCAGTTTATTAAAGGATATGATAAAGGATACAGATGAACAGTCAGATGAAGAAATACATAGGGCAAGGTCTGGGAAGGTCCCCAGCACAGGAACTTCTGTCCCCATGGAATTGGGGTGCCTCACCTTCCCTGTGTGGATGTGTTCACCAACTTGGAGGCCCTCTGAACCCTATAGTATTGTGATTTTATGGAGGCTTCATCATGTAGGCAAGATGGATCATTAACTCCATTTTCAGCCCTTTTGCCTTCTCAAGAGATGGGGAGTAGGGGAGCTTGGGGGATGGGGCTGAAAATTCCAAGCTTCTAATCATGGCTTGTTCTTTCTGGTGAGCAGCTCTCTTCAGAAGCCATCCAGAAGCCTGCCCAAATTTGCCTCACTAGAACAAAAGACACTTCTATCACCCAGAAAATTACAAGGGTTTCAGGAGCCCTGTGTCAGGAACTGGGGTCAAAGACCAAATATTAGAACAAAAGATGCTCCTAGTGCTCTTATCACTTAGGAAATTACAAGTGTTTCAGGAGGCCTATGTCAGGAGCCAGCACCAGAGACCAATATATATGTTTTTCTATTATCTCACAGACCTAGAAAAACAAAACAAAACATTGTGAGAGACTAAAAATATTACGAACTGTATTATCACAGTGAATGTTTATATTGATGTTGTATGTACTTGGAAATGGAAAAGCAAAATTGTACAAATAGTGTATCCTGGCTTAGAATCTGACCTTTAAATTTTCATTTGAAAAGAAATCAGAGTATTGCTGTTATAACACATACATTATGGTCTTAGTTGTACAGAATAAACAAAAGACTTTCTTGAACAGGTTTGAAATAATTGTTTGACATTTTCCAGGAAAATCAGATGCATGTGCCAAATGCAGATTGCTGGCAACTTGTCCTCCTTTTATACAGAGATAAAGGCCACCGGGAAGTCTTTTGAAATTCTACAGTAGCTTGTAATGGGATCTGCAGAACTTGATATTTAACTTTATAACTGTTATTTTCAATTAATAATTATAAGACCTTGAACAAGTCATCTAACTTCTCTGTTCACTATTTTCTTTATTTTAAAATGAAGATATTGTACTAGATGATTTCTAAAGCATCTTCCACTTCTAAAATGCTATAATTTTATTTCACACTAGGATTCTTCTGCTAATGCAGATTTATAAAAATGAGATAGTTGGTTGATAAAGTGGTTGTGGCACTTTACATTCCCACTAGCAAAGTTGAGAGTTCTATTTGCTCTAAATCCTCTTCAACACTTGGTAGCATCAATTTTTAAGATTTCAGCTATTCTAATAGGTGTATAATGTTATCTCATTGTGACTTTAATTTGTATTTCTCTAATGACTGTGATGTTGAACATCTTTTCATGTGCATATTAGCCATTCATTTATCTTTTTTTGGTGAAATATCTATTGAAATCTTTTGTCCATTTTAATTTGGGTTGTTTGTCTTCTACTCATTGTGTCTTAAGAGTTCTTTATACATTCTAGGTACAAGACCATGGTCAGATTTTTGTGTTGAGAATATTTTCTCCCATGATGTGGTTTGCCTTTCATTATTTTTACAGTGTCTTTGGAAGAGTAGATTTAAATTTTGATGATGTCCAATTTTTCCATATTTTTCTTTTATGGTTTGTGCTTTTTGTATCCTAAGAAATCTCGGCCTATTTTTATTTGGCTATGATTTTCTCCTATGTTTTCTTCTTGAATATTTATAGTTTTAGCTTTTTAAAAAATAAATTTATTTAATTTATTTTTGGCTGTGTTGGGTCTTTGTTGCTGTGCGTGGGCTTTCTCTAGTTGCAGCGAGTGGGTGCTACTCATTGCAGTGGCTTCTTTTGTTGTGGAGCACGGTCTCTAGGCACGTGGGCTCAGTAGTTGTGGCACATGGGCTCTAGAGCACAGGCTCAGTATTTGTGGCGCACAGGCGTAGTTGCTCCGCGGCATGTAGAATCTTCCCGGACCAGGGCTCGAACCCGTGTCCCCTGCATTGGCAGGCAGATTCATAACCACTGCACCACTAGGGAAGTCCCTGTTCTGGACTTCATTCTATCCCATTGACTTATTCTTCTGTCCTTATGTCGGTATCAGTCTTAATTACTAGGGCTTTATAGTAAGTCTAGAATTTCAGTAGTTTAACTCCTTCCACTTTATTCTTCCTTTTCAAAATTGTTTTGCTGGTCTAGGTCCTTTGTATTTTCCTATAAATTTTAAAATCAATATCAATTTCTACCAAAAAAGTCCTTCAGAGATTTTGTTTGAGATTGAATCTTTGGATGAATTTGAAGCAAAGGATGTGACCTGGGGTGGAGAGGCAGTTGAATGATCATGCACACTACATTAAGTCCTTCCTTGAAGGAGGATCTTAGTGGAGCATCTCCAAGTCTACATACAGTGGTTGATAGTGTTGTTCAAATCTTCTATATTCTTACTGGGTTTTGTGTGTGTGTATATTCTATGAATTACTGGGAAAGGTGGGTTAAAATCTCACATTCTGACTGGATTTACCTGTTTTTCTTTTTAGTTCTGTCAGTTTTTGCTTTATGTATTTTGAAGCTATGTTACTAGCACATATACATTTATAATGGTTATATATCTTCCTGATGTGTTGATTCTTTTATCATTACAAAGTGTCCTTTAATTCTAAAAATAATTCTTATGTAATCTGTTTCGCCTGATATTAATCTAACCCCTCCAACTTTCTCATAGTTATTTTCCTCATGGCTTTTATCATTTTCCATCCTTCTACTTTTTAACATATTTGTATCTTCATATTTAAAGTGAGTCTCTTAGAGTTAATATTAAATTGCTTTAGGAAAAATACAGAAACTTTGCTACTTTTATTACTGGGGGAAGCCAGGTGGAGGGTACATGAGAACTCCTGTTCTATTTTTTTCAACTATGTAAGTCTAAAATTATTTAAAGAATGTTTATAATTGCCTGTTGGTTGGTGCATTGTTGTAGTAACTTCTCTAAAATTCTTGTCTGATAATTCCAACATCTGTATCAACTATATGTTGTTGTTGTCTGTTGATTTGTCCTTATTCATCCTAGTTGAGATTTTTTTTCCTGTCTTTTGGAATGATGAGTATACTCATTTTGGATAGTATCCTGGACATTTTGAGTGTTATGAGACCTTGGTTCCTACTTAAATCGTCTATATTAGTAGGCAGCCACTGGAGAGGGAGGAATGGTGCTGCGTCTTCGCTGACATTCACCTTATGTAGGGCAGGAATGGTTGGCAGGGCTCTGCCCCCATAGTCTTTGTGGCTGCATCCTGGTGGGGGATGGGAGGGCCACCACCTCTGTTGTCATTTTTGCAGGGTTGGGATGGTCAGCAAGGCTCTGCCCCATAGATTATACAGCACCCATTTGGGAGGGTTGCATCCTTCAGGGCTGCTGTCTTCCCAGTCCTTTGGTTGGAGACAGTGGGTTTTTTCTTACGGCTTTTTTGTTGTTGACCTACACCTGTTGGTGGTTCCAGGTTGTAAACTGCTGTCACACCCAGGGTGAGATACATGAATGGCAAAAAATCTCAAGATTTTTTAATCACTCAAGATCTGCAGTCTCTAGCCAGTCTCTTTTCTACAAGAGTCTCCTTGTAGTTGCTTTGTCTTTGGTCCAAGGTTTATAGTTGTAATTAGCAGGAAGAATAGGATGGAATGCACTTTATCTTGTTTGGAACCAGACATCTCTTACTGGTTTTTTTTTTTTTTTTTTTTACTGGTTTTTAAAATATTTATAATTTCTGTATTTTCTATTTATTTGCCCTGTGTATTTTGTTTTTCAGGCAAATGAAGATAAAACAATGTCAGCCAACCTAAAATACCTTTCCTTGGGAATTTTGGTCTTTCAGACTACCAGTCTGGTTCTAACGATGCGTTATTCTAGGACTTTAAAAGAGGAGGGGCCTCGTTATCTGTCATCTACAGCCGTGGTTGTTGCTGAACTTTGGAAGATAATGGCCTGCATTTTATTAGTCTACAAAGACAGCAGTAGGTATCTAGGTTTTTTAAGTCATTGCAATTTATTTAATTATTTTGGAGTTATTCACATGTGATATATATATATAGTATATATGTATAGGTACCTATATATATGACATATATATATATAGGTAACTACACATTTGAACACTTGCATTATTGACGAACATTTCAATTTTCATTTTATTAAGATGGTTTTAGTCTAGTAATAAAGGTATTTTATTCTTATCTATGTTATGATTCATGTCCTCTGGTTAATGCTGTAAATATGAAACAAAGTTTCTTGCATTAAAAATAATTTGAGAATAAGTAATTTAGAGGAGTAATAATTTTTTACTAAAGTCAAGGCTTTTTTATTTTATTTGCTGCATGATTAGTCCAGCAGTGACTAATTTGATATAGTTTTTTTAAAAAAAAATCTTTATTGAGGGAATTCCCTGGTGGTCCAGTAGTTAGGGCTCCATGTGGTTAGATTATTTGGGGGTACATTAAAATGAAAAACAGACTTTTTCATGTTTTTATATATCAAACCAAATGAGAAGACAAGCAACAGATTGAGAGAAGATATTTACATCACAGGTAATAATTAATATCCAGAATGTACAAAGAACTCCCACAACTCAATAAGAAAAAGATAAGAAACTCAACAAAAAAAGGGACAAAAGATATAAATAGGCAACTCACAGAAGAGAAAACCTGGGTGGCCAATCAATGTATAAAAAGATGTTCAACCTCTCTAGCAATCAGAGAAATCAGATTAAAGCCACAAGACTCAATTCCACTACCCTCATACTGCTAATGAGAAAAATATGTGACAGCATTAATTATTTAAAAATTTAATTTTAAAGATGAGCTTATATTTTATATTTTTTCTGCTAAAACTAAAATAATCTTTTGGTAACTTTTGTTTTACTTACATAATTTTTTTTACCATTATTTTAGTCAGGAAAGGCTGAATATCAAGTAGCATTCTTTAGTTATTTTCATTTTGGAAACTAACACAACATTGTTACTCAACTAAACTGCAATAAAAATTAATTTTTAAAAAGGTATTTTCATTTTAAAACGGTTTTCATAAAGTTTGCAAGTTTTATGTTGTGAGAGAAAATCATCTGTGAAGTGTATTGTTGGTAAGGTGGTAGGGTTCCTTAGAATTTCTCCCTTCTTTGGGGGTTTATATATCTCAAAGTTCTTTGGACATTTTTTTGTGATTGATACTGTGGGTTGGCTAGCTCAGAGTCCATTTTTAACTCCTTTCTCACTTTCTTATATCTAATGTGGAGAATATAAAAGAAAATAATTGATTTTCCAGCTCCCTTGCAGCAGGGAGTAGTTATGCAACATACAGTCTTGGTCAGTGAGCGGGAAGAAGATGCCTGCTAGCCCACTGTTTCCTCCTCCTCTTTCTTCCTTCCGGAAAGAAGAACCAGAGGTGCATCATTCAGTTGGCAATCTGTTGCAAAAAATCACGTAGACAATACATGAAAAGCATGAAAATAAAAAGCCAATATATATACAGAGAGAGCTAGGTCCCTGATGTCATCACGGAGCTGCTGTAGCAGCTTTTGACCTGGACTCATGACATGTGAGACAAATCCCTATGGGTTTGAGCCACTGTTGGTTGGGTTTTCTGTTGTTTGAGCCAAACCCACCTCCTGATATCCTTCTTTTTATGATTAAAGTCTTCATAATTATTAATTGGCATTAATGGCTGATGATAAAATACATTATAAAATACAAGGTATCAATATTATAATATTGCTATGATAAAGTAAGAATACTTGGTTGACAAATTAATACTTTGAGGTTTTGGTTATCATAAATACATATGTATATATATAATCAATTTGATTTATTTCCCAATGAAAGATATATGTATATATAAAGATAATGCTCTTCTTAATATGCTACCTTATAATATTTAATATTTGAAATATTAGCATCATTAAAGGTATAGGTATACCTTATTTCACTGCAGATATTGTGTGTTTTACAAATATAAGATTTGTGGCAACCCTCCATTGTCAGATGATGGTATTTTTTTAGCAATAAAGTTTTTTTTTTTTTTGCGGTATGCGGGCCTCTCACTGTTGTGGCCTCTCCCGTTGCGGAGCACAGGCTCCGGACACACAGGCTCAGCGGCCACGGCTCATGGTTCCAGCTGCTCCGTGACATGTGGGGTCTTCCCAGACCGGGGCATGAACCCACGTCCCCTGCATCGGCAGGCGGACTCTCAACCACTGCACCACCAGGGAAGCCCTAAAGTATTTTTTAATTAAGGTATGCACATTATTTTTTTAGACATAATCTTATTGCCCAGTTAACAGACTACAGTAAAGGGTAAATATAACTTTTATATGCACTGAGAAACCAAAAAAAATTCTTGTGACTCACTTTATTTTGATACTCATTTTATGGCAGTGGTCTGGAAATGAACCTGCAATATCTCTGAGGTACGTCTGTATATTTTAGACCTAAAAGGATCTTAACATGTAGCCAAATTTCCATTTTTTACCGGTGAAAAAACTGAGGACTTCAGAGACAGTATGTAACTTATTTGGAGTTACTTAATTATTGATTTTGTCCATTTCATGTTTTTTCTAGAATGTAGTCTAAGAGCACTGAATCGAATACTACATGATGAAATTCTTAATAAACCTATGGAAACACTTAAACTTGCTATTCCATCAGGGATATATACTCTTCAGAATAATTTACTCTACGTGGCACTGTCAAATCTAGATGCAGCTACTTATCAGGTATTTAAAATACATTTCTAGTAGTGTTTCTAAGAAAGAAAGAAACAAACAATAATATTAGCTGTTTTCTTTTTCAGGTCACATATCAGTTGAAAATTCTTACGACTGCATTATTTTCTGTGTCGATGCTTAGTAAAAAATTAGGTGTGTACCAGTGGCTCTCCCTAGTAATTTTGATGACAGGAGTTGCTTTTGTACAGGTAACTATTCAAGATAAGTATAACTTTTACTTTTATCACAGTTTCAGAACCTCATTTTGGAAAATACGTTCTGTTATTTGTTGAAGAAAATTAATGCTTATTCTTACAACTGACATTTTTTGAGGGCTTCCTTTGAGCAAGATATTACATTGGGACTGTAAATGACACAAAGAAGTAGAATCAAATTATCCGACGTAAAGAAATGAACAGTCTATTTAGGGAAATAAGACACTGTATGTAAAACAAAGCTGTTTTTTACTGAGTATCTGGACATTGAGATCAACCACTCCCCTTCCTATTGTCTCTCAGCTTCCCTGATACCACTTGCTCCTGGTTCTTTTCACATCTTTCTAATGATTCCTTATTGGTTTCCTTCCTGGGGTCCTCTTTCTTGATATTCCCATTAGATATTGTGTTGTTGATAGGCTTGTTATTTCTCTTAAATTATTCCTTATTTTTGGAGATTTCATTCTTTCTGAAGTTTTTTATTAACACATATGCTGATAGCTTTTTGGTCTGTGTCATCAGCTTTGGTTATCACCTCTAGTTTCAGATTTATATATCTAAAAGCACATTGGACATCTTTGTTTGGTTGTTCAATAGGCCTTATAAACTCAGTGTATCCAAAGCTGCACTTTACCTTTTCCCCACCAAACCTGTTCTTTATTTCTGCTTTTTCCGTCATGATTTACTTAGCCTGAGAGTTGTCCTAGACTCTTCCTTTAGCCTGTACATCCAGTCAATCACTAAGACTTTCTGATTCTGCTTTCTAATACTTCTTGATTTTGTCCTTGTCTGTCTCTAACACTTCCACATTTCAAGCCTTCTTTGTGTCTCAAGTAATCTTTTGCCTCCTAATTGGTTTTTTTTTAACTTCTGTCTTACAATTCAGCCTCCACTTAGTCACCACTGTGGTCTATCTAAAAGAAATCCAATCATGTCAATCTACTGCCGTCCAAAGCCCCCCTCCCCTACAATCACTTTCCTCAGAGTGTGGTATGTATATTTTGAATAAATATTTCTAATAGTTATTTAAGTGGTTATTAGAAAAATATAATTGGCATATCAAACCCATATTTTCATAGATTCTGCTTAAGGTAAGGTAAAGTCGGTATTCAGTTTTTAAAAGTGAGGTATTTTAGGGCTTCCCTGGTGGAGCAGTGGTTGAGAATCTGCCTGCTAATGCAGGGGACATGGGTTCGAGCCCTGGTCTGGGAGGATCCCACATGCCGTGGAGCAACTAGGCCCGTGAGCCACAACTACTGAGCCTGCGCGTCTGGAGCCTGTGCTCTGCAACAAGAGAGGCCGCGATAGTGAGAGGCCCGCGCACCGCCATGAAGGGTGGCCCCCGCTTGCCACAACTAGAGAAAGCCCTCACAGCCATAAATAAATAAATAAATTACTAAACTCCTACCCCCAACATCTTCTTTAAAAAAAAAAGAAAAAAAAGTGAGGTATTTTAAATTAAAATATCAAGTAGTAGTTTAGGGAGAACATACATTTGACAAAAACCATGAAGATGATAGGGAAATAAGTGAAGTTTTAGGAACACTGATCTACAGAATAAAGCTCAGGATGGTTAGCATGAAATGGACCTTCCATAATGAAACATCAGCTCCATACTCATTTTTGCTGCTCCAACACTTCACACTCTGAATTTCTACAGCTGAACTGCTTGTGGAGGCTATTTTGTGCATCTGTGCGTTTATTATACTTGTTCTTTTTTTTAGGGTATTTTTGAAATTATAAATTACAACAGTAATATCACTATGGGAAAAAAAAAATGATTCTAAGTTTTTCTTTCAAAAGCTCTTCTCTGCAATCCCCCAGGATGGTATTGGCTGCATTTTTACCTTAAGGTCTAAGAGTGGACTCTAAATATGTATTTTGTAAAATATTATAGGAATTAAACTTCAATTTTGTTTTTCTTTTTGTTCAGTGGCCCTCAGATTCTCAAGAGCTTAATTCTAAGGAACTTTCAGCTGGCTCACAATTTGTAGGCCTCATGGCAGTTCTCACAGCATGTTTTTCAAGTGGCTTTGCTGGGGTTTACTTTGAGAAAATCTTAAAAGAAACCAAACAATCAGTGTGGATAAGAAACATTCAACTTGGTAAGTTTTAAATGTTTTCTAATATTATTTTTAAAGGATTATATTGTTATGTTTAAAGATTTCTGTGTTTTCCTGTTTTTCTTAAAAATTTTTTGGCCACACCACACAGCATGCAGGATCTTAGTTCCCCAACCAGGGATTGAACCTGTGCCCCCTACATTGGGAGCACAGCATCTTAACCACTGGACTGCCAGGAAGTCCTATGTATCTTTAATTAAATAAACCTTTTATAAAAGTTGCTGTTGATGCAAATATCTGTCAGGGTTTTTGCCTTTTGACAAACTGTATTTTAAATGAATGTCTTTTCAAGAATATGGAATTTTGGGTCTGTGCTCATAAGAATGTATGAAGCCTGTTTCTGTCCTCACCATTTGGAGCCTTTGTCTTTGGTTGCTATGTTTTCCACAGATGTTGCAAATAACATATTTTCCTCCTGGAAAAAGAGATTAAGATAGTAAAAAAAAAAAAAAACAAAGATAGTAAATTTAATTATATGATGCAGTGTTATCAGCTACAGTCACCATGTTGTATATCAAATCACCACAATGTACACTTCAAATGTCTTAGAATTCTACTTATCAATTATACCTCAGTAAAGCTGAAAAAATAGATACTTAAATGGAGCAAGTTTGAAATGAAGAAATTGTCTCTTTAAAATCTTATTATGCTTTTTTATTTCAAATTGTTACATTTTAGCTTTTAAATACTACAGCACTTTTCTAACTGAAGGTGAATAGTTTAAAAGAAAAAAGAGATTGCCTTTGAATAGATATTTAAACTATTTGTATACAGTACTGTAACATTTAACTCCTCATACAAAGATTTCAGAATTTAGTATTCTTGTCATATTCATTTTGGAAGATGCTACATGTGAGAAGCAGCTCAACTGCAAATCAACATGTTCTGTTTTAAGCCTCTGTCCCTGTGACTTTGGAGCTCATCTTTGAAACCATTGTTTTTTTCTTTGAAGCCACTGTTTTTTTCTTCACATCAGCTTAATAGCTATACCATGTTTCCTGATAGCAGTCATAACAGGCCCTTCCAGGCCCTATACAGTGAATTGTCTGTAATCCTAATGGCCTGTATTTTAAGACAAACCTTCAAAATTTGATTAAAGTCCATCCTTTCAGCTGTTTTCACATAATATGATGACAAACAGACTGAACCTTCATTTTATCTCATAGTATTTATTTGTTTCTCTGCAAAATTTGTAGAAATGTATCGTGTGTTTTTTTTTAATAACTTCAAGGTAAATATTTTTGAAAACAAAATTAAATTAGCTTCCCTTTGTTCAGTTTGTCTAGAAGGCAAGTTCAGACTTGAAAAGCATTCACCATTTCAGAAAGAGTATATCTATAGCATAGTGGTTAAGAACTCTTGGTTTGGTAGTCTGACCACTCAAATCTTGATTTTTTTTTTTTTTTTTTTTTGCGGTTCGTGGGCCTCTCACTGTTGTGGCCTCTCCCGTTGCGGAGCACAGGCTCCGGATGTGCAGGCTCAGCGGCCACGGCTCACGGGCCCAGCCGCTCCGCGGCATGTGGGATCTTCCTGGACCGGGGCACGAACCCGTGTCCCCTGCATCGGCAGGCGGACTCTCAACCACTGCGCCACCAGGGAAGCCCCAAATCCTGATTTTATTACCTACCACGTGTGTGGCATTACAGAGCTTACTTAACCTTCCTCTCTGCTTCCTCATCTATAAAATATAGTTAATTATGGTACTTATTTCATATGTTGCTATGTGGATTAAATGAGATAATACATGTAAAGTGTTTAGAATAAAGTGCCTTGTGCTTTATTAGTGCCTAAGCACTTATGTCAGCTATTTACATTAATACGCAAATATCAGAAAAGAAAGAAATATTCAGGTTTGTATGAGTTACCCCAAATTTTCTCGATTTTAAGATAAAAATGAAAGGTCAGAATTCATGATTCTGTGGTATTTCATGGATTTCTTATTCTTTGGTTTGACCTCATAACACAACCTAATGGTAATGGTAATAACTCAAAGTTTTGAAAAGGATACATAAATAAGTTATAGAACTCGAGATTACAAAAACAAAACAATGTATAGAAGTTTTCAAACATCAACGGTCAAAGATTAGCTAATTGATAAGATCCAATATTAGCCACAGAATGGAGAAGCAGGAACTCTTGTTACCTTAGGTTGCTAGGAGTACAGTCTTCCCTTGGTATCTGTGGGGGATTGGTTCCAGGACTGCCATGGATGATCAAGTCCCTTGTATAAAATGGTGTATAGTGTTTGCATATGACTTATGCAATCTTCTCATATACACTGAATCATCTCTAAATTATTTATAATACCTAATACAGTGTAAATGCTTTGTAAATAAGTTGCTGTGCCGGCAAATTCAAGTTTTGTTTTTTGGAACTTTCTGGAATTTTTTTTTTACATTTTTGATTCACGGATGGTTGAATCTGTGGATGCAAAATCTGCGAATATGGAGGGGCAACTGGTAGACTGATGTAACCTTATTGGATCTCAATTTGGGAATATATAACAAAATTTTAAATAAATTACAGCTTTAATGTAAAAATTCCATGTCTGGATAAGAATTTATCCTACAGATATAAATATTTATACAAGAGAACAAAGATAAATGTCCAAGTTTATTCATTTCAGCATTGGTTACAATTGTAAAAAATAGAAAACATTTAGAATACTGGTTAAATAAATTATCAATATGATTAAATGGATCATAGACTTCAAAACCACTCTGCCTGGATTAAAATCTTGAATCCATCACTAACCAGCAACATGAGTTTGGGCAAGTTTATTTAACCTCTCTTTGCTTCAGTTTGTTCATCTGTAAAACGAACTAGAAGTGTCCACCTCATAGGGTTGTTATGAGTTAACATACATAAAGCACTTAGTACATTTTGTTGCATGTGGCATTATATGTGTATTTCATACTGTTATTGTCCGTACGATGGAATATTACGCAACTGATAGAAAGAATGCAGTAGATCTGTACATACTGACATGTGTGTACTCTTCTGTACTCTATACATTTTTTGTAATTATCAAGTGTTATTTTTATAATTAAAAAAGAAATGAATAATACCCTTGGAAGTGTTTCTTTTTGTGATTTTGTGTTATACCAGTATTATTTTCATGTTCTAAATTAGACATATTAAAATAATAGAGTTGGCATAAATAAAATTTTAGAAAGAACATTTCACATCCCTTTTAGTTCTTTTTCACTGTGGAATACTTTGAGTAGTTGTGGCTTTATAAAAAATTGCTTTACCCTGCACTCTTTGCATATCTTACTACAGACTGCCCCAAAGAGATGACCCCTGTAATATCCATTTCTTTATTCATAGTTTAGGATTGCTCCAGGAAATCTTAGATCCAGTAGTCATGTGATAAGCTCTGTGGTAGAAGTAAGGGATTCAGCAGTGAATAAGACACATTTCAGGCTCTCACTGAGCTGACTTTCCCTAACAGTGAGACTTCAATAACAACATTATGATGTTGCCTATGGCTGACTGTTTCTTAGCTCTAATTTTTTGTTTATTAATTATTGTACATCCAAAATTTCTAAATAAAGGAAAATGCTGGACCACATACCTGAGCTATTATATCTGCATGTATGAATGTGAATATATGAAAATCTAGATCTAGCAAATAGGAAGATATAAGATACAATGAAATATACCAAAAGTGAGCATTTTAGAAATATTTGAATGGGAGAGCCATTTAGTCCTGGAATGTATACATTATATTTTTTCAGTCCTCCAAAGTTGGTAATCTCTGTTCTTTTATATATTCCCATGTCTATATTACAGTCATAATATAGTACTAAGTATACTTTTCTTAAGTTTATATAATTATACAAGTAAAAAAATTTTAAAGTAGTCCAATTTTATTGAAAAGGAAAAGTTAAGTTTAAAATTATTTGGAATGTTAATAGAAAAATATCTCTTCAGGTAAACTAAATGATGTTTGACATAGACTTTACTTTTATTTTAGGTTTCTTTGGGAGTATATTTGGATTAATGGGTGTATATGTTTATGATGGAGAACTGGTATCAAAGAATGGATTTTTTCAGGGGTATAACTGGCTGACCTGGATAGTTGTTGTTCTTCAGGTAAAGCATTTAAAGTCTTACATTTATGCTAATAAATTTTATTTTAATATAGAGAATCATAGTAGCTATGATATACTGATATGAGGAAGAAGGGTCCCTCCTATCAGTACTCTCATTATCTCTAGTTTATTAAGGGAAGTTAAAATAGAACTGATCTAAATGCTGTAATGAAAACTTACTTGAAAATGAATCATGAATGAACTTTATGGTATTTAAATTTAACATATCGAAAATGCAAGTTTAAGAATAAAAGTTGAAAGCTGAAGACAAATATAACTTGTAATTTTTCTACTGTTTTGATCATTTTACAGGAAGTCTGTGGTCAGCTATTTCAGGCTCAAGAAGCAGATCTAGATATTTAAATCTGTAACAGTTTATAGTTTATATTTTGGTTACATATTGGAGTACTCCTATCAAATTACCTCGGCTTATAACTTGAAATTATTCAAGGGTTGAGTAATTTCATCTTCAAAAAATACTTACTGAGTACTCTGGAGGATACAAAAATGAAGATAGAAGTCTCTGCCTTCACAAAGCCTTTCTCTAGAGGTATTTGAAGCTGTAAGAAACAAGGTCCCTTAGGGAGGATGGGTGAAGGTGGCAAAGGATAGTTGTGTTTTGAAAGCAGGAAGGATACTTCTATTTTTAATATAGGAGAAAAGGAGACAAGGGTAGTGAAAATTCAGAGAAAATTTGAGGTAGAGATAGGGTAAGTCAGGAGAGTTGATGTATGATGGCTTTTATCCTATCAAGGAGGGAAGCTCTCTTTCCTTAAGAGGGGCTAAAGACTTGAGAAAAATTTAAAAGGTTTGGTACAGTTGGTATGAGGGAGTAAATAGGGGAATGAGAACACTGCTAAGAAATACCAGGACTCAAACATCAATTTGTAGTGAGCTCACTTGGCATAATTTGTGACTTTCTCTCATAAAGCTTCTACCATTTGAAAAGGTACAGTGAAAGTGGGTAACCCAGACTTGGGAGCTGATATGTAGGGTTCGGTAGAAAACAAAACTATGAGATATGGTAAAACTTTGTTATTTAAGTAGCCACAATTTGGAATTTGAGAGGGATTTGGTAGAAAGTTCTTCACTCTTTTTTTTTTTTTTTTGCGGTACGCGGTCCTCTCACTGTTGTGTCCTCTACCAGATTATGCTGGTAGTTACTTTGTCAGATACCTTTTGAAATAAGGGGGCTACTGAACAAAACCTATAAGTCCATTTGTTATGAGATGTTTAATAAAAATCACTGACTTTAATGGGATTAGGTTATAGGACAAAGCCTGAAGCTTCATTGAGATTGTTTTGAAAAGCAGTTTTATATATGTTTATTTTTTAAAATAATCTTTTAAAACTTCTGCAGGCACTGGGAGGCCTTGTAATAGCTGCTGTTATTAAGTATGCGGATAACATTTTAAAAGGATTTGCAACCTCTCTGTCCATAATATTATCAACACTAATATCTTATTTTTGGCTACAAGATTTCGTACCAACCAGGTAGTGTATTCTTTTCTATTTCTTTAAACCTCCAAAAGTATATAGAAAAATAAGAGTCCTTCATAAGATCTAATCTGAAAAATTTTGTTCTATTACAACTTTTGAAGAAATATAGTAAGATTCATTTAACTATCTTTCTTTCTTTCTTTATTTTTTTTTTTGTTGGTATGCGGGCCTCTCACTGTCGTGGCCTCTCCCGTTGCGGAGCACAGGCTCCGGACGCGCAGGCCCAGCGGCCATGGCTCACGGGCCCAGCTGCTCCGCGGCATGTGGGATCTTCTTGGACCGGGGCACGAACCCATGTCCCCTGCATCGGCAGGCGGACTCTCAACCACTGAGCCACCAGGACCCCCCATTTAACTATCTTTTTAAAAAGGTTTCAAACTAAATGCATGAAAGAAAATCTAACACTGGAAAGCAATTTATACAATTTGGCTCGCCAGAATTTTCTCAATAGATCTGAATAGGTTTTTTTCCCCAAAGTTACAAGTCATATTTTTAAAAGTTAGTAAGTCATAAAAGTCATAAAATAAGTCATATAATTACATCTTTAAATGAAGAATTTATATAGCTAAAGCCAAGAGAGTAGGTGGCATTCTTGAAGAGGATAGTTTGTTTATATAGAGAAGGTGGCTCATGAGAAAATTCAATTAGGTGGTGGCAGGGAGAAGAATAGTCTGAAAAAGAATTGCAAAAGGAATGATGGGTGAGGCAGGAGACCCAGGATCGTGTAGTGTCATGGATGCCAAGAGAGAAGACAGAGTGAGGAAGAGTAAAGTCTAATAAAGTTCTATTTTTTTTTACAATTACTAATTTGTAATCCCAGAGTAATGAGATTATATTTTAATGGATTCCAGGATACCATTCATGGTTTCCTCTAACTTCACTCCCCTCCTTATCTTCTCATTCTCTAAACTTCGGGAGTACTCTCTTCATCTGTCCTTGGACTTCTTATATCTGCACTCACTCCCTTGGTGATCTCTATTCTCACGGCTTTAAATACCATCTATAGGCTAATAACTCTCAAATTTAAATTTGAATTCCAGGCTTTTATATCTAATTGTCTATTTGACATTTTCTTCAATGTCTAACTCATTCCCCATCTCTGTCAGGGTTCCCAATTTAGTAAGTGGCAGCACCTTCATTCTTTCAGTTGCTTAGGCCAAAATCCTTTCTGACTTAGATAGGAACACAGTATATCCACAGTAACCTCAGAGAAGGCAGACTCTATAGCTATGGATATAGATAGCTTTATAAGAGGAAGTTAAAATGTATGGAAATTTTTAATTTTCTTAGTGCAGTAAGGTCGTCAGCTTCTCTTTACTATTCTCTCACATGTCATTCTAATCCAGAAGCAAATCCTGTCGATTCTTCCGTTTTAATATCTCCAGAAGCTGACCATTTCTCACAACTTCTGCTGCTACCACCACGATCCAAGTCACCCTCATTTATCGTCTAGATTAAGGAAATAGTCTCCTGACTTGTCTCCTTGCTTCTTCTCTTCACCTGTGTCCCTGAATTTTCTCCATTCAGTAACCAGAATGGTTCTTTTCAGTGTAGATCAGATCATACTCAGAAACCCTCTAATTGCTTCCTATGTCACTCAAAAGTTGTCACCATCGACAGCCTATTTGCTTTGGCTTTTAGCTACCTTTCTATCCTTACCTGATATTACTTTCCTCTTGTTTACCTTTTTTAAATTCTTAAATTTTTTTTTTTTTTTTTTTTTTTGCTATTGTAACTTCTTTGCTATGGGCTTTGACTTGCCCTATTTTTCTTGGAAAATGCATCCCCTCCATATTCACATGGCATACTCCCTCATGTCCTTAGATCTTGGCTCAAATATCCCTTTATCAAGAGATCTAAGAAAAAGCACCCCCCTCTTCCAACATTCTTTCCTCCTGTCTTCAGAAGACTTACCACCATCTGATAATAAGTAAGCAAGGCTGGAGTTTGGCACATAATAGATACTCAGTATGTTTGTTGAATGAATGTTCAAGACCTTAAAATTTTAATACAGTTAGTAAAATTAATTTGTGTTAGTGAGAGTGAGATAGGATTGTGGGTGGAATTTGGTAGTAGAAAAATGTAATATGCTCATTCTATTTCTATATTGAACATTTATGGTTTGGTTCTTCTCTAGCAACTTGGACAATAGGTCTGGGACATGCGTGTTGAAATCTGTAATTTTTCTGAGGCATGAATTTAAAAGTATTTATGTTTTTAACTTGATACGGGAATGAATTACTTACATTGAGACAACCGTAATAATTAGCACCTATGTCTTAGTGATGCTTTATTCCCTACGTATTAAATGGGGAAATTACATGCTTTAATATTATTTGAGAATGTTTGGAACTTGTATATTTTTAGGGTAACTTAAAAAGGCATACCTTTTTCAAAAAAAATAAAACATCAAATAAGGCCAAAGTGTTAACTTTAAATCTTCAAATCATGCAGGGAATAAAACAAGTAAATGATCACGTAAACCAGCAGAGGGACAAAAGAGTAGGAGTTTTTCAGTAAGCTACATACCTGTGTTTGTAAATCCATGTTTCTGAGGGAGCATGTAAGGTATGTTGGGATGAAGATAAAAAGAGAAAAGACAATGATACTGTTATTATTGAATGAATGAATGTTTTGAGAATATGCATAGGACACCAAGTCAGATGGAGAAGACAGGTTATTTTTCCTAAAATAGATAGCTAAGCCCTCCATCTTTATGTATTCTTTCTTTTGTGGAGAACTTCTATTATCCAATAAATGCAATGATCTATATTGTGAATATAATAATATATTTTCCTTTGTTATACCCATTTCACCTCCTGAAAGTTTTTTCGTTTCTCAGAAGTAGTACCCCTGACCCCTGTACCTGCCTTTCTGATTGTTCCTTTGGTAACTGTCAGTCTTCACTCACTCTCTTATCTATCTCATCCACTGCCATGTCTTACCTGTCCTCTCTATGAAGATAACTCTAGATCCCTATTTTCAACTGACTGCTAGACATCTCTACTGATATATTACCAGTATTCCCTTTCCTATTTTTTTTTGTGCTCATTATTTGGCTTATTGGTATTACCATCCTTGTATTTAGGCTTGCTTATTCTTTTATCAAAAGTTTATTGTGTCCATTATATGTCTGCCTGCCAGTGTACTAGATCCTGGAAAAACAGGAATGCCTGAATAAGATATGATTTTCTATCTTCAAGGAGATCACAGTGACTGGAGAGACGGGCATGAGAATAAATTATAACTAGGATCAATGCAGCAATGGAAGTATATACACAATTCCATTAGAAAGAGGGGGCTCAAATCCTTGAAATATTAAATTCTGATAGCTTTTTCCTTAACAAAATTATTTCTCTCAGAACCACCTAAAAAATAGCTGGCTTGGGAAGCAGGGGTTTCCTGACAGTAGATAGTCTAGTACAGCGGTCCCCAACCTTTTTTGGCACCAGGGACCAGTTTTGTGGAAGACAGTTTTTCCACAGCCTTACGGGGAGGGATGGTTTTGGGATGATTCAAACACATTACAGTTATTGTGCACTTTATTTCTATTATTATTACATTGTAATATATAATGAAATAATTATACAACTCACCATGATGCTGACAAGAGGCAGAGCTCAGGCAGTAATGCAAGTGATGGGAAGCGGCTGTAAATACAGATGAAGCTTCGCTCACTTGCCTGCCGCTCACCTCCTGCTGTGTGGCCCGGTTCCTAACAGGCCAGGATTGGGGACCCCTGGTCTAGTAGATCCTGTTAGAAATATCATACAATGGGTTCCTACGGTGGGTAGAAAGTTGGATCAGACAACTTTCCAACTGAGCATGTGATTCTATGCAATTCCAGATTTCTGGAAAGTTAAGAGAAACTCATAATGATTGACAAAGAAAGTGCTCAGTCAGAAGCTTATGCAGCCTAAATTGTTACCAAATATTCCTGTGGTAGTAATTTTCTTCAAGATATTTACATTATAGGAAGTTTTATGTTCTCTTAATCTTATATGTATATATGTATTCAAGGCGTTTGAAAAGTTACACATCTGCATCAAGTCAACACTAGATTTATCATAACAGATAATGATTAAGCTCCCTATATATGCTAGGGACTAGGAATATAATGATGAATGAGGAACACATGGTTGAGCAGGGGAGCAGAATGTAAATAAGACATTATTTACTACAGTGTGATAAAGTGTTACCATAGAGTAACTCTGCTTAAGGGAGTTAGTCTTGGAGACTTAAGACCTGAGTTGTTATGAATAAGCAGTTTTCTTGGGAGGGACACTGCAGGCAGAGGAATAGCATCTACAAGGATACTGCCCTGAAAGGCATGTTGTGTTCACTAAATGGAGTGGCTGAATTATAGATGGGGTGGGGTGGAGTGTGGGAGATAAGGTTGGAAGGACCATATTATGAAGGGCCCTTTAACTCATAATAAGGATTAGTGATCTTTTTCCTTTATAGAACATTTTTTTTTTTTGAGGCAGGGGAGTGATTTCAAACTGTTAATAAAAACTTTAAAAGCACGACTAATTCATGTCCCTGTAACAGCACTTTGAAGAATATACATGTTAAAAGTTAAGACTGATATTCCAGTTTACATTCAGTTTGAGTTCCAGTACCAGTTTAAATTCATTTCCTGTTTATAGTAAGGTATATTATATATATGGATAGATAAACTAAAGAAGAAACCAAGTCTTCCTGCATTCAGTCTTATTTCCTTTTGTAAAGCATCCTATAAAAATCCTGAGTTTTGCTTATTACTACCTTATATTTTAAACTGAACTTTACTGTGGTTTGAAAAGAATGCAATTTTCCCTTTATATATTCAAATTTTAAAAAAATCGAGATCTCTTATTATTCAATGTATTATAGGCAAAAGGCACATTACAATGAAATACTATATATACATATATGTATAACTGAATAACTTTGCTGTATACCTGAAACTAACACAATATTGTAAATTAACTATACTTCGATTTTAAAAAATGGTTTTGAAAAAAGATGAAATACAACCTTTTATACATCTTTGCTTTGGGAGACTACAGTATAGCACAGTGGATGAAAGTGCAGGCTTGGCTCTAGAGTTAAACATACCTGAGTTTGAATTCTATCTCCCACTTCAAGCCGTGGGACTTTAAGCAAATTATTTAAATTCTCTAAACCCGTTTCCTCATATATAAACAAATGAGGACAGTGCTAGTCCTTCCTTATAAGGTTGTTGTGAGAACTAAATGAGATAATGCATGTAAAACACTTAGCTAAATATCTGGAATGTAGTAAGTACTCAGTATTTGTTAGCCATGTTACTGGAACATTTTGTCCCAAATTATATTTGTTTTTATAGTAAAGAAATATAACTTGTTTTGTTTTTAATCTGATTTTCTCTTTTTCATTTCTTCTTCATCTATTTAGTGTCTTTTTCCTTGGAGCCATCCTTGTAATAACAGCTACTTTCCTATATGGTTATGATCCTAAACCTGCAGGAAATCCCACTAAAGCATAGTGGTAATACTGTCTTTATCTGGTTTTTCACAATGGTGCACTAGGAATCTCAACATTAATCCTGCACAGAGGACTTCTACAGATTCTAAGAAAAAAATCATCATGCTGAATCTGATCATAATGTTCAAATGGTTTGAAAATATGAACGTTTAAGGATAAAATATATGTATATGTAACAAAATGCCTATTGCATCAAGAAATCAAAACTTGAAAGTATTTCCAGGGATTAGAATAATTATTGGAGGAAACTTGAAATCTGAGTTTAAAAAGATTTTATGTTTTTGATTGCTGCAGAAATATCCTATGCATTCTTTGCAAGAGCACACAACAAATGTCAGACATCAATTTTGCAAATTAGATATATTTAATCTTATTAAATGTTTTTTATCTTACTCTTTCTGTACAGATATATCAAATAACATGGATATTCAAAGTTTGAAAATTATAATTACCTATAAAGCTGTGAAGAAATAGGATGATTTGAAAAACATTTTCATGTATCTCAGATTTTTATATTTATACAGAAGATTACTAAACAAAAGATTGCTATATGTTGCAAATGTTCAACTGCATAAAAATTGATAAAGTAACATTCTGGGTCTGATTTGTCAGACAATAAAATTCATATTTAAATTTAATGTAAAGAAATATACACATCTATTTCTCCATCTACATTTTAAGATCTTTTAGTGCTTCAGAACTGCTGGAAGCAAGCAATCCAGTTGTTCCTGTGCTAGATAGTAGCCAGTTACTTTTACACTAATGGAGTTTTGTCCTTAATCTCTTAATTGTATTTCTTTTCTGTAAATCAGATAAATCCTTAATATTACTTTAAAATAAATTTCTGTGTGTGTTAATTTCCATTAAAGTTTTAAAATGTAATTTAAATACTCATAATAATTTAAAATAATAATTATTGTCTAATGTCTCCATTTGGAGAATTTTGAACTATCAAAGCATATACTGTATAATAACTAGAGCATTTTTAGATGAATATTTTACTCATTGATCTGTAAAAACTTCTTTTAATCTACAACTGTTGACAAAACCAAAAAAATAGTAGTACAGATGTCAATAAATTGAGACCAAAATGACTTTTCTTGGAGACATTCCAGATTGCCATATTACATTATTTTAAATGGCACTGTAAGTATAAATTCAAGGCTGCTCAGAAGAACTTTCTAGGCCTCTCATAAACCCACCATTCCCAGGAATTCTCTGATGCATGTCTGGGAGAGGCAGCTGAATTCTGAATTCCCTTTCTGAGACCCTACAAAAGCTGCCAGGAAGGAGCCACAGCTTTGCTTTACAATAGTGGTTTCCTTTCCATTTGATTAGCACTGGAGTTGAGATTGCAGATTACATGAGTTATTTAATAAATTGGTTCAGGGAGAGAAAATATAGCAGAAATGATCAAATGAACAGGTGGGCACAAATACTTTCTAAAATTAGAATATGGGTTTAATTTAATTATTGACTAGAGACAGAATTACCTATTATGTATAGGAATTTATTTTTTTCTTTCATACATTATATATTTTTAAAAGTCTCCTGTTCTAATAGTATAAATCTGTAAAAAATAAATATTTTTATATAATTCTAATGGATTTTGTTAAACAAAATTTGGCTGAAAAATACTATGTTACAAACTGTTGGCTATTCTTGGCTAATTAGGACTGGCTGTGTTACTTTGCTGAGGCAAACCTAGCCTCTACAGGACAAAAGCCTAATATATTCCATACAGAGTTTTAAAAAATGCTTAAAATTACAAAGTATTTTAAATTAATCTGCTGGTGATTCCAAGTTGGCACCAAGCAAACTTTCTGGAACTCTGACTTATGACTTTCAGTGACCACCTTTTAGAGTATTTATTTAATAACTTTACCACAATTTGAGAATGGTGTTTTTAGACTGTAACAACATTCAGGCTTACATCTTATTATTTACTGCTAAGGGAAATCTAAATCCTATAATGCACAGAATTCAAGACTAAATATAAAGATTTATGTTCAGCTCACACTGAAGTACTGGTTGGGTACTTACGTGTTAATTCAATGTGCATTCATAATTAATTGTTAATTCAGGTTTAGTCTCAATTTTAACACTTCAAAAAATGATACAGCAAATTATTGGACATCAGACATGTTAGTTACAATAGTAATATATTTTCAGGTGTCCAAAATAACACAATTTTCAAGATTCCCACCAAAGTTTATAAAATGTAATCAAGAGTTCTGAGAAAGGGCAAAATAGTCTATTTGCAAAGCAAACTTTTATTAGACAGGCATAATTTATATTTTGCTTTTCTAGTAGGTTTGAAAACGTTATTAGAGATTTGGTTGTGTAGTTTGTGATTCATAAAGAGATAATCATATTTGAGAAGGTGGACCTGTATCCTAGATCATGTCATATATACAGATAATGCTGTTTTCTTCTGTGTGCTGTATATTTTGATGACCTCCAGAAGCCTTATTGTATCAATCTTTTATAATGATGACTCCTTGATTATTTAAATTCTTATACTTTTTAGAGTTTACATGTTACTACTTTGTTCATTATAAAAATGTGCTAACTCATGGGAGAAGAGTGCCAACTGATAGTTCTATAAAACTTAAGAATATGGTATTTTGGAAGAAAATTTTGAAATGCAACATGTAGATGTATCAACACAGTAATATTATCAATTCTATAATAAGTGATTTTTAGAGACATTGTAGACTACTTTTATGGTGGAAAATGTAGTTTAGAGATGCAAAACTTAAATGTTTACATCAATTTATATTGAATGTCACAATTTCATAGAAGGAAAGGTGGTTTGATATTTAAACTAGAATCTAAAGAGACAGAATCTGAGTGGAAATTAATTGACTTTGTGCTCAGTAGACTTAGTGTAATACAAACTATTCTTAAGAATTGATACACTTTTCCTACATATCAAATTATTAGACTTTTAAAATGTCATTGTATAGTCACCTGAGTTGTTTTGTTTTTAAAAACAGGGTTTAGCATCACTCATTTTATTTACACTTTCGTTGTTATAATATTTAATTACATATGAATGTATGCTCTACATAAGAAAAAGTTTATGAAAGTTATTTATGCTATATCGAAAGTCATCTTAAGGATCTCCCAGATATGTAGCATATTTAAAGTAATTATAGGACCAAAGAAAAAGCACCTTTATCAAAACCTGGTCCTATGTGCCTTGCTTTACCAAATACCTGACTTTTCTGGAGGACATTACTATAATTCACAATTTTGGACACATAGGCAAAATTAGGATGTTTTAAGAATTTAATTCAATTTTTTCATTGTTTCAACATTTGCTATTTAAATCCATTATCTAACAGAATATTAAAATAGGTATATTATACAAGTATTAGTAAACAGAACTTATTTAAATAAATTATGGTACTATTGCTCCATCATTGAAATTTTGAAACTTTAACAATTGTATATAACTGTCATTTTGGTTTTTTATTTCTTATTATAAGATATAATTTACTGTGATTTTTAAACTATTTTTTTAATGATTTGGATTCTGAATTTGTCTATATGTGTATTTCCTTTGTTTAGGAAGATTCTTTTGGGTTTGGGGCTGTGATTTGTATATTTAAATTTTTTATGGACATAATTCAAAGGAATCTGTAAATTGGTCTTTTGTTAAATGGCTTTTTAATTGATAAATTTCCCTTTGTCATTTTTTGGTATCCAGTTATATCTATTCAGTAGATTTATGGAAATAGATTATTTTCATAACTATGTAAATTTTTTCCTATATTTCCTTGTTTCCCTGTTCACCTGTGCTTGACTTAACCATGAATTAGTCTCCTCTCTATATATCAAAAATGACTCACTGAGCCTTTCCCTACCTCTCTAGTTACCTTTATCATGTGTGTGATCTTCCTTTTTACTAGCCTATGCCTTAGCATGAAAGACTGGATTTTATTTAAACTCGTTAGAATTTCTCTACCTGTATGATGATAACAGTCTAAAATTTTTTTGCTTTAAATAAATTATCTCTTTGCTAGCCTCAAAGTTAAGAAATTACAGTAATCGGTATATATTTTTTTCATATTTGTCTTTTGGCTGCACCGCATGGCTTGGAGGATTTTAGTTTCCCGACCGGGGATCAAGCCCGTGCCCCCTGCAGTGGAAGCACGGAGTCCTAACCACTGGACCGCCAGGAAATTCCCAGTTTTCTTCATAATTTGAATATAATTGTTTCTATTGTGACTATCAATTCAATGCATAGAGATCAAATGATAAGCAATATAAAGGATTTTATTTCCACCTTTATTACTGAAGTAACCTTGTACAAAATGCTGTTTTAAAATGTTACTAAAATAATATCAGCATTAAATGTATACCCTTCTTTGGTATCTTCTCAGAAGCACTAACTGAAAATCTTTAAATATTTTTTTTATTGTAAAACTTTCATTGAAAGTATATCAAAATCCTTGAATCCTGTGCTGTGCAAATACGCCTCATAATCTAAATCTTATAGATACCACTGCCATTCAACATAGTCAGATAGTGACCAGTGTTAGTAATCATAATTGTCTTTCTTACTGTTCTTAAAAAGAGAATTTTTTCAAAGCAGGATTGATTACATACACATTCCAGAGGAGAAAATATCAGAGGAAATAAATTGCCGAACTTCAAATCCCAAAGATTTGAAATTGTACTATAGTAGAGTGTCTTGGTGACTATAAATTCAGAGGTTTCCCAAATTCACCTTCAGGTTCAATAATTCACTAGAAGGAACTCACTGAAAGCTATTATAATCACATTTATTCCAGAGAAAGAATACAAGTTAGAACCAGCCAAAGGAAGAGACACATAGGGCAGAGTCTAGGAGGGGTCCAAACTCCAGTCGTCCTTTCCAATTGTCCACTCCCTGTGGAGTCTTAGACAATGTTATATACTCTGGCCACAATTTATGATACTACACGCAAGTACTGCCAATCGGGAAAGTTCACCCACGCTTTGGTGTTCAGATTTTTACTGAAGTTTTATTACTTGGCATGATTGATAGATTCTTTGCACACATGGTTGAACTCACTCTCCAGCCCTGACCCTCCCTGGAGAACTAGCTGACATCAGGCTCTAGGGGCTCATGTTAGCATAAATTATAAGATGTGATTTGAGGAGCCCAATATGAATAACAAAGACACTCCTCTCACTGGGACCTCCTGACGATAAAGGCCAGAACTCTTTGGGTAAGGCCAAATTCCTTACACAGTGGCCATTCGTCTCTCATACACATTCTTCTGAACTGATGAGGATGACACAAGCAATGACAATTGTTTATGGAGACATTTATATATTGTCATTTTTTATTTCAGAAATTTTGTGAAATGATTCTGAACATGACTCAAGGGCAGAAAAACATAATCAGATACAGTGCTAAGTAGCATATGTAGTATTTATTTAGTTTTCAGTTCTGATATTTAATTACAATTTTATTAAATGTTGGAATACTTAAAAGACATTTAAAATTTTATAAACTTTTAATCTATGCTGTATATTAACATAAAATTTTGAGCTAATTTTATTTATTTAGAAGATCTAATTGGCTTTTTTGATGATTCATGAATTGGGCAGCATCCCATCTAGCAACTAGAAGGGTGCTCCCTGAGCTAACTGTAAATTACCAGTAGCCATCACTTTAGTTTGGCTCATAATAGGCCTTCACTGTTAACTGACAGCTCCACATTTCCAGTCATCCTTTATTGGGGTTAAGTATCAGCCCTCCATTGGATCTAATCAGGTTTTTTCATTTATGCATTTATTTACATTTATTTATTTAGGGTTTCTAATATGTTAAAAGTAACTTCTTTAAAACAAACAGTAATGATACTCCTTTGGGAATAGTTTACCTGAGATACACACTTTCATCCTTTTTTAACTTGAACTTACTGAGGATTTAAAAGAATAATGAATGCTGTTACAGTGTTCTGAAAATTCACTCTAAAAAAATGTACTTTAAATGTAAAGTATTTAAAAGGTTTAGTTAAATGTGTTAAATCAGACTTCACTTGTATATTTTAAACAAAATCTGTGGATGTGAGTTTATGTGTTTATTCTTTTAAAAAACATTGTATATACAAAAACAATTTCTAATAATTGAGGGTTTAAGTTTTCTCCTTTAGGCTGAAGTTTTATTATGTTCCATTTTATTTTATTTTGCTTGGATAGTAAATACAGCAATTAAAAATTATGATGCTAAGTGCTTTTTCTAATATATGCAAGCTGCTTCAACAGGTTTTTAAAGATAGCAACAGTAATATTTCTTGGATGCTAATAGGATTACGGAAAATGACAGAGGTGAGTTTATGTTTCATTTTACGGCGGTTTCAAAATACTGCTATGAATTCTAAACTTTTAAAATCTGAAGCTTACTTTGGATGTTATATATATATAATGCCCCAAATTTTCATTACTTTATATTTGTCTCCATTCACCTTAAAGGCCTTTTTGCCGCGCCGCACAGTTTGCGGAATGTTAGTTCCCTGACCAGGGATTGAACCTGGGTCTCGGCACTGAAAGCGCGGGGTCCTAAGCATTGGACCGCCAGGGAATTCCCCTGTTTTTGCTTTTAATATTTCGTTTTTATACTGTTATTGCCGTTTTAATGACTTCAATCATGCTATGATTGTCAGCTTAGTTTTGAAAAATTCATGGGTCATCTCCGTGTACTCACAAAGTAAGCATTGTTAAAAGACCTTTTTTTTTTTAATTTAAATTTTCCCTAGCTTCTCATTTTGAAAAAATTTTAAAGTATATAAAAGTTGAAATAATAGTATACCCATTTGCCCTCCACCTGAATTCAACAATTAACATTTTGCCATACTAGCTTTATCAGGACACTTCTAAAAATATGGACATTTTTCTAATTAAATTCAATCCCATTATCACACTTAAGAAAATTTAATTTTATTGTATCACCTACGTTCATATTCAGATATTTCCAGTTGTCTCAAAAAATGACCTTTTACAGGTTTTTTTGGCTTTGATCCAGGATTCAGATGAGGATCATACTTTCTATTTAATTGTCTCTTTTAGTCTAGAAGATCCTTCCCTGTACCCCAATGGCTTTTTTTCCCCATGATGTGACTTTTTGAAGAGTGTAAGTCACTTGGCATCCATCCATGATCTGTCAATATCCTTGATTTGTTCCCTTTATTCTTTGCATTTCCTTCAAACTGGAAGTCTGTAGGTTTGATTAACTTCAGGTTAAATGTTTTGGGAAAGAATATTTCAGATTATCTTTTAGGTTTTATATTGTATCACATTAGAAGACACATAATTCTAGATTGTCTCATTACTGATGATAATCATTCAGTCAAGGTGGTGACTAACAGATCTTTCCATTGTAAAGGTCATTTTCTCCCCTTAGTAATTAGTATTCTTTAGGGTAGTATTTTGGCACCATGGGAATGTTCTTTTTCCTACCAGCCTTTCATTCAATGGTTTTAGCATCAACTGATGATTCTTAACTGAATCATTTATCACACTGAGGTGCAAAATAGTGATTTAAAATTTTTTAATTCTCTAATTTTCTTCTACATTTATTATATAGTTTCTATTCCTCTATTTTAAAAAGACTATTTTCCCTCCTTTCTTGTTCCCAAAGCCCTCTTTTTTTTCCCCAGATCACTGTCCTTAATCTTCAATGTAAACATTATAGCTAATTACAGTCACAGTTTTGTTGTTTTGTTTTGTTTTGCTTTTCTGTTTGTTTTTTTAGCTGCGCCTCACGGCTTATGAGATCTTAGTTCCCTGACCAGGGATCGAACCCAGGCCCTCAGCAGTGAGAGTGTGGAGTCCTAAACACTGCATCTCCAGGGAATTCCCCAGTCACATTTCCTTTTGATGTTCATATTGTAAGCCAGTAGCCAGTGGAGGTCACTAGAAGCTAGCTTCTGTTCTGTTAGACATGACCACATTAGTCTCTGAGGTCCTCCTTGCTTCAGGTACAACAATATGTTCCAGACTTGCCTCGTACTTGTCCTATTCCAAAGCTGGGGAATATCAGCTATGTATCCAAGGAGCCCTATCTATTCCTTTTAGGGGGAATGGAATTTGAACTCCATTTACTTATGGGCCATATATCAGTGGGCAGAGCTAGGAAATAACATTTTTAAGAGTTCATGAATTTAAATCAATGTTTACAATTAAAAATTAGTATTACAAGCTTTTTTCTTATTTTATATTTGCCTCTCTTTTCTCTTACAGTGAAAATATTGGTTCTGAGTAACATTAGCATATTTGCTTATATGTTTTATTATATAGCTTATGTTTCAGCACTACAATACCAGTATTACTAATGGAAAACATATTGAATAAAATTTGCAGTTCTCTTTGTCCTTAGAATAGCCCACTGAGAGTACATGTTCAAAAGTTAACGTAAATTACTATTTTCTCTACATGGTTATGCTATCACTGTGATATAACTAGTTTGTTTTTATTCAATTTCATATTTAATTTAAAAATTTTATTGCTTTTGAATACGTGAAGCATTTACATGGTTCAAAGTTAAAACTATATAAAAAGTATACTCAGATTAGCCAAGCTGCCATGCCTATGCCTCCAGCCCATTCCTAATCACCTCCTATAGATAATTATTTTCATTAGTTGCTAGTTTATCTTTCCTGTGTTTCTGTTAAAAAAATAAAGTGTGTACATTGCTATATTTATTGCGTTTCACCATGTGGAGTGTGTTCCTTGCTTTTAAAATTTTTTATGTTTAGAAAGGGTTTTCTGTTCTAGTGGTTACCTTTTTACTGATAACATTTTATGTAATGCCATAAAAGACCTCTTTTTGCTTGTTTAAGCTTCTACTATTTGCCGTTTTAAATGTTCTTTGACTCCCATCTAATTGCCTTTGTGACAACCAATGAACTTATTCTACTCCTTCCATCTTCTCATATTTTTTAGTTGCCTTATTTCTATTCGAAATGTTTTAGAACATATAACATTTACACACTATTTTTTCACCCTAGTCCCTGCATTTGCTATAAAATTAAATATATTTTAAGTATATTTAATACTCTTCACCAGTACTTTAGCTGAAGGCTCCCCAATCAACTCTTGGCTGGATGAAGCTCTTCTAGTAGAGTACTCAAGGAGGGCTTGTAAGTACAATATTCCTCAAGTTCTAGCATGTTTAAAATTTCTTCTAGAGCCTAGATACTTTAAGTACAGCTTGATGAACTATAAAATCTTTGGCTCACACTTTTTTTTTTGAAAATGTTGCTCCATTGTTGTGTTGCTTGGTGTTATTGTCAAGAAATCTGGCACCATTTGATTTTTTTTCCCCCTTTGGAAAAAATATTAACTTTGTTTGTTGTTGTTTTTTTTTTTCCTGGAGGCCCAGATAATTTTTTCCATGTCATTTTCTCTTTTTTTCCTTATAGCTGATTTATTCCTCTCCTCCATGTTCCTTATTTTCATGTGTATCTGTTCTCTCTTAGGAACGCTGTAATTTAGTTTTCATTTTTTAGATGATTTTACTATTTCAGTAAATTGCCTGAGTTTGATCAACTCTCATCTTCCTATTGAGTTTTTAACAGTTTGTTACATTCTTTCACATCTGCAATTGCTCATTTAATGATATTTAATTCATATTGGAGTGATGTATATAGTTTTCCTCTGCTTCATATTTTCTAGAGGGTAGTATTTTCTATTAATTTAAAAGTTTTCATTTTCTGTTTTCCTTTTATAGTAGCCTTTTATGAGGTTTTGGTGGCTTTTTCTGTCCCTCGTAAAACATGTAGGATTTTCTTGGATCAGCAAGAACAGATTGTTCTACAGAAGGAAGGGGTGAAAGAATGTAGGTGACTGTTTCATAGTTAAGGAGGCCCTCTTCTGTTTGTATGGTAAAGTGCAGTTTCTTTAATAAACGGCACATTTGGGGGGATTGGATTCTGCCATACAATCTTGTTTCTTTCGGAATATTTAGCTTCAGCCACTTGCCCTTCTCTCCAAGGGATTTCTCTCCCTTCCAAAGTGCCTCATGAAGTGTTCTCATGAACTTTCCAAATACTGGTTCTTGCCTGTTTTCAAGCCTGATTATTCACCTTCTCATTAATTTTGGGAACTTTCAGGATCCTTCCAAATCACTCCATTTTGCTTATGTTAGCTAATGCTAGTTTCTGTTGACTATAACCAAAGAACCCTAACTGACACATCAACCTCTTAACGTAAAGTTTGTGAATCTTCACAACCCCAAATCACACAGAAAGCCACAAGTATATGCACAGTAAGTCTGTTACAAGAGTCATCTCTTGTTTACTATTGCAGCTCTTCTAGCACAATGCCTGGGACATTCTGGACATTCAGTATATGCTAAATTTCTCTTATTACCTTTTTTACAACAGCACTTACCACAATTTGTAATTATCTTCATTTTGTGTTTGTTTTATAACTCTGTCCCCCAGTATAATTAAGCTCTACGTACATAAATATCATGTCATCTATTGATGTATCTCCAGTGTCTAGTAAAACTGTGGCAGACACTTACAGGTACTCAATTTTTTTTTTTTTTTTTTTTTCAGTACGCAGGCCTCTCACTGTTGTGGCCTTTCCCGTTGTGGAGCACAGGCTCCAGACGCGCAGGCTCAGCGGCCATGGCTCACGGGCCTAGCCACTCCGCGGCATGTGGGATCTCCCCGGACCGGGGCACGAACCCATGACCCCTGCGTCGGCAGGCGGACTCTCAACCACTGCACCACCAGGGAAGCCCTCAAATATTTTTTTGAATGACTAAACAATAATCAGTTGTTAAGGATGATAAAGCTGGTGCAGCTAGATGAAGTATGATTTTGAAAAAGGTCAGAGTAACCACACAATAAATGATCTTACCAGCCCTCTCTATCCATCCAAAACAAACTCCTGGGGATTTAACTATGAAATCTATCTCATCTTACTTTCTCTAAAGAACTTCAAGTCAGTTTCAGTAAGAGAATATTTTTAAACAAATGTTGAGTTTACTTATTGAGGAAACATGTAACTTGAATTATCAGGCTAAAATGCCTTTCTTCTCCCTTCCATGGAAATTGATTTGTTTTCTATGTCTAGTCAGTTATCGAAATAGAAAATTCAATCAAATTTATTTTTTAACATTTTAAAATAATTTCAAGCTTACAGAAAAGTTGCAGTAATAGTACCAAGAACATACACTCCCTTTACCCTGTGTATTAGTTATCTATATAGCTGTGTGCCAAATTACCCCAAAGCTTAGTGGCTTAAAACGAGTACTTTTTATCTTACAGTTTCTGAGAGTCAGGAAACCAGGAGTGGCTCAGCTGGGCAGGCATTGCTCAGGGTTTCCTGAAGTTGCAGTCAGGATGTTGGCATGGGTTGCTGTCAGCCAAAGCCTTGAGCAGGACTGGAGGACTGGCTTCCAAGCTGACTCACTCACATATCTGTTGGTGGAAGGCCTCAGTACAGGCTGCCTAAGTGTCCTCATGACATGGCGGCTAGTTTCCACTAGACTTGGGTCCTGAGTGAATGAAAAAGAGAAAGCTAGCGGGAAGATGCAGAGCCTTTTATGACCTAGCCTAGGAAGTCAGATACGTCACTTCTACAATATCCTATTAGATAACAGAGCCACTAAGCCCAGCCCACACTCCTGAGAAGGGGAATTAGACTCCTCCTCTTCCAGAAGAGAATATCACTGAATTTGTGAAGATATCTTAAAACCACCACACAGAAATTCACTATTTTTTTATCACCTTGCCATTTTGCTTTATCACTCTCAACCCCCTCCTCTCACATACATACATGCTATTTCCTAACCATTTTAGAGTAGGGAGCATGCATCACATTCCTTCACTCCTTAAGACTCCGGTGTATATTTCTTAAGGAAAAGGATATTCTCTTACATAACACAGTAATCGCACATTTAACATCGTGATACTTTAATTTGAAGTCCATACTCCACTTGTGACAACTGTTAATTAACAGCGTTAATTAACAACGTTAATTTTTAAACAACACGGTAAAACAGGTAGTGGCCTAGACTATGTAAATTTTTATTGGCAGGGATTAGAGAAAAGATCCTGCCTGGGGCCTGGGAACTCCTGGAAACAGGCGGGCTTCAGCTGAGCTCCAGGCTTTCTCTACCCCCGCCCCCGGCACCAGAATGACAAAAGACTAGGAAAACTCAGTTTATCTTTACTCCTTCAGTCACCCACTATTTCTGTAAAACTATTTCAACCGTTTCCTTCGGTTCCGGTGTTGGTTAGAACACAGTTGGAGACAGCCCTCATAGTTGAGGACACCTGGTTAAAATTCCAGTGCAACCGTTTATCAGCTGTACTTCCACTAGTAGGTAACTTTTAGAAACTTAAATTCTTCCTCTGTTTAGGGGATCTATCACCGTCCCCAGCGCCCAGGGCTGTGGTGAGGGCTGAGCGAGCTGGTGAACGGAGAGCACACGGATCTCTCCACGCGCCGCTCCCTCCACCGGCTGCCTCGGCCGCGCGCCGCCCGCTTCCCTCGGGGCTTCCCTCCGCGGGCGCAGACTGCCCAGCGGCTGAGCGGGCGGGGCGCGTCACGTGGGCGGGGCGGGCTGGTCGACCGATCGCACGATGTGACGCGCCGCCGGAGGCAGGCCGGGCCTTCAAGATGGCGGCGGGCGCCCCGAGCGGCTCGGCCCGGCAGTAGTGGCGGGACGGCACTCGCCGCTGGGGCCGGCCGCCCCGGGAGTGGCTGCAGCAACGCCAGGAATCGAGGATGGTAAAATGACCCAGGGGAAGAAGAAGAAACGGGCCGCGAACCGCAGTATCATGCTGGCCAAGAAAATCATCATTAAGGACGGAGGCACGGTGAGCTGGGGTACCGCGCCGGGGAGGGTCTTTTGGGGCCCGGATCTCTTTCTGCCCCCAACGCTGAAGCCTGCAGCCGCCCCCGACTGCCCCCGCCCTCCCTCACCCCTCCCGCGGTGCCGGTGTCTCGGGCTCCCGGGCCCCCAGTGCCTGTGCTCCAGGGGCTTTCCTCCCTCGCCCCGGCCTGCGGCCTCCGTGGCCCGTCCTCTCGAATGGAGAAGCCGCCCGCCTCTCCCGCACCTGCCAGCCTTTCCTTTGGCCGCCCCTGGAGGCCCTGCGGCCTTGAGCCCACGAGCGCCTCAGCCGCGGGGAGGAATCGACGCCGGGCTCCGCTGCCGGCCGGTCCGCCGGGTCGCCGGGTCGTAGCTGGTTCCGCCGTCCCCTTCGCCTCCGCAGCCTCGCCTGCGCCGTCCAGGCCCCGCGAGGCCGTGGCCGCGCTCTGGAAGCGGCCGGGAGCAATCCCTGCCCTCCCATATGCTGCTAACCGGGTGGCATCTAGCGCGGCGACCCCGCTAGGGCCCCGTAGTGCGCTCGCTCCCTTCTTCCACGGCGTGCTGGGTCAGTGCTCCTGCTCTTGGCTGCTTCCAGTACGGTAAACACTGTCAGAAGGTGGGCTTTGCTCCTCACTTCCCGCGGTCTGGAGCGTGACGGAGGACACCTGGGGCCTAGACTTCAATCTGCTAGTTTTCAAAGAAGAGTCATCACCCTGTTGTTTTAAAATCACCTGGTGTATTTTAAAACAAAAAATACTAGGTAGAGTTGATCATGGCCTGAGGATTGGAAGACCTTTGAAAGGAAGACAGATTGAGGGCAAGAAAAAAATTTTTGCTTTTTAGAAACAGTTGTCATCACAGTCAACTTT